AAAAAAAAAAAAAAAGCTGCTAGTGATTGAGGGTTGTGATGGAAGGAAGGAAAAGGACAGAGAAGAGCTCAGTGTGGAGTTGCCTGGCTCTCCCCCGACTTCCCTGCTGCCGTCCAGCTGCACATCCCTGGGTAGCCAGCCTGGCATCCCACAAGGCCTAGTCTAGGCCCTGGAGCTGGCAGGACAGGGGCAGAACCTCCCCTCTAGAAGGGGCTAAGGAGCAGTTTGGGTGCCCAGAGAGTCCTGGGGCTTTTCCTTCTGAAAAGGAAGTCCTGGGGATGCTGGGCAAGGTGGGTGGGACAGCCACCTTTTCCAGGCAGGAAATGAACATGACCGAAGGGGTGGGTCAACTTGGAGTTAAAGATAACTAACTGGGGGTAGTGGGGATTGAGGCTAACTCGATAGCCCCATGCAGGGCTGCTGTCATCCTCGTATGGCTCCTTTGTGCAAATAAGAAGTCTGCCTTTAGGAGGACACAGTTCTGTACCATGGTCATGGTTTGGTAGGCAGAGAGAGGGCTAGGTTTTAATTATTCCCTGCTTCTCTCCAACCCCTACCTCTGTCTGAGTATGTCTGTGCAGTGTGCAACCTGAACAACTGTACATGGTGTACCTGGCTCTGAATAATAAAGAGATGGCTACTCAGCTCCAGCCCTGCAGGAATGAGGGCTTCATGTTGCTGCAGCTTCCAGTTTTTTAAGGGCAGCTGAATATAGGGATCATGTGAAAAATCCCGTTTTTAAATGTTGGCAGTGAATTCACCCTGTGGGCCAAACAAAACCCATCTGTGCTGATGGCGCCAAGGGAGGGAATCTTGGGGCCGCTCTCTTGGTGCCTGCAGGAGGGGATTCTCTTGCTCAGAAAGGTGCCCACCTCATACCCTGGGAACTCAGACTGCAAAGCCCTACCGGCTTGGGGCAGTGGATGTAGCGTGCCAGGCTGATGATGAGGTCGTGAGTGATGGGGTCCACCAGGTTCCGGAAACTGGCATAGCGATACAGAACATCATCCAGTGAGGTCGACTCCATGCCCAGGTCCTGCAAGAGCAAAGGGCACCAGAGGTCAGGATGGCTGCTTCAGTCACCTTGCCCAGGATCCTGGGACAAGCGGGCACAGGCCACTGGGTGCTCCTGCAGGTGGCTTAGCATCCCCCAGAACCCTGGCAGGGAAGCGTCTGCCGGCCCTGAGGGGCCCTGGACTAGTCCATGCCGCTTTCTCTCTCTCTCTCTGAGCCGAGGAAAAGCAGGCTGGACATTTGCAAGCTCCACAGTCTGTGCAGGTCCCAGTGCGTTCACCTCTCCTGTGACGTCACTGGCCTATGCCTCTCTGTTTTCTCAAAGGATGAAGCCAAGGGTGGCCTGCCACAGTGTGAGTGGCTGCTTCCCCACTGGGGGCAAAATTTGGAACCAGCATGCATAGCAAAACTCCTCTGTCTTGTGACAGGATCATTCATTGATAAAGAGTTGTGTTTTCAGCTTGGTGCCTGTAGCACAGTGGTTACAGTGCCAGCCACATACTCCGAGGCTGGCAGGTTTGAACCAGGCCTTGGCCAGATAAAACAACGACAACTGCAACAAAAAATAGCTGGGCATTGTGGTGGGTGCCTGTAGCCCCAGCTACTCGGGAGGCTGAGGCAAGAGAATCGCTTAAGCCCAAGAGTTGGAGGTTGCTGTGAGCTGTGACGCTATAGCACTCTACTGAGGGGGACATAGGGAGACTGTCTCAAAAAAAAAAAAAAAAAAAAAACCAACAAAGTTGTGTTTTCTTCCTGCTTCTGAAGTTGTATTTACTTCTCCCTAGGTGGATGTGGCCACAGTACCCCTCTGCCTTGGGAGCTTTTGAGTTGTGGGTCAGTGGCACTCCCTCGGGGAGGGTATTACTTGGGGTCCCCTGATGGGGAGGGTGGGGGTGTGGAGCCAATGGTAGAAGTTGCTGGAACAGAGGTTCCCAGGGAGGGACAAGGGTCTGGGGGTTTCAGGGAACACTGCCCCAAGATACAGAATGCTGGCATCTGAGGAATCGGGAAGGTCTCTCCTGCCATTCTCCCCTGAAGCAAGGGCCATCAGGATTCTCTGACCTTCCTCTAAAGAAGGTCATGAAACCCTTGAGCTCAAGGAGTCACCTGCTTTAGAGAAGTAAAGAAATGTGTGATTTGTCTGTGCAGGGGAGTTGGACTAAACTCTGAGCCTCTCTGTGTGGAAGGGTATGGGCACACCTTTTCCCCTTCTTCAAGCCCCCTTGCCCCAAACCCTGCCATCCTCAGGTGAAAGCTGTGGTCCCCTCTGTGGCAACTTGCACAGATCGGCCAATGACAACATTCCCATCCAGGGGAACAAGGGGTGCCCCTGGGTGGGCAGGGCAGGCAGGCCAACCTGCCCTGTGCCGCCCACTCCCTGGGCCCTCTGAACTGTCCTGGCACAGCCCAGAGGAGGAGGAGGGTCCCAGCCCCGTTGGCCAGGGTCCAGCAGCCGGGGGGTGAGGGTGGGAGTGGGAAACCTGTGGGTGACCATCTGAGTTGCTGCAGGGGCTTGCTTCTTGTTTTGTTGGGATATTCCGGTCTTTTCTAAACGCCTTCCCCACGATTCTGAAACGTCCCAAGGCAGATGGGATCCATGCATAACGAGTCCCCAGATATCAACTCCTCCAGCTATCAGGATCTAAGGAAGGTGGGGATGGCCTAGGCCCAGCCTGAGGTGTCCTGCACAGACCCCCATCTGCTCTTATCCGCCGTGGGATGAGCTGGGCAGGGACTCGGCTCTGACTTGGTGGCTGACATTTCTTTCTTTCTTTCTTTTTTTTTTTAGGATACATTAAAATTTGGTTTAATAATTCTTTGCAGCAAAAAAAAAAATCACATTTGTAGAGAACGAACAACAAACATTTTTAGGCTATTTTAAACTACCATCCCATGAATTCATAGGGAAGAGGTTCCAGTAGCTCAGGAGTCAACATTGATTGACTTTTGAATTCATGGGGAATAGCTTCCAGCACCTTGTGTCACTGTTACATGGGGTCTAATTGGTTATCCTGTGTGCTATGCTGTACACCTATTATGCCATGAGCTCATGGAGAGTAAATAGGTTCTCGCACCTAAAAGCATGGGTCCACTGGTACTCCTGAGTGCTATGTTATATGCTTTATGCCATGAATTCATAGGGAATGGGTTCCAGGAGCTCAGGCTCCTTTCCACTGGTTCTCACAAAGTGGGCTTCTCTGGGTGGAGCAGGCTGGTGCTTCAGTTGAACCCAGGTACCTTTCTCTTTGGCTTCCTTCTTTTTCTGATCATTTTCCTTCACGTTTCAGGAAGCTATCTCGGCTCTTAGAGTTCCTAATATGCTCAATACGAACATTAATCCTCTTGGCTAGAATCTTGCCCTTAACTTGTTTGTTTACAACAATGCCAACAGCATGCTGGGTAGACTCTTCCAGTTGTGCCATGGTAACATTTGTGTCGCATGCCTTTTGAACAGTACCCATTCCCTTGATGTCTACAATATCACCTTTCTTGTAGATTCGCATATATGTGGCCAAAGGAACAACTCCATGTTTTCTAAAAGGCCTAGAGAACATGTATCGGGTGCCTCTCCTTTTTCCCTTTGTATTTGTCATTTTGGTGAATTATTGGAAGATGGTGTCTCCGGCAGAAAGGAAGCGGTGGCTGACATTTCTATGAACAAATATAAAAAGGGTCTTTGTCACGTGGATCTGGAGGGGCCTGGGTGTTTCCTGGGGGCAGGCTCTCTGAGTCTCCAGGCTGGTCAGGTCCAACCAGCACGGTTAGGGGCACTCTGCCTCCTACCCCTTGTGATAGCTGCATTGGTGCTGCGGTGAGGACAGGAGGGGCTGGTCTGGAGGGCTTTCTTTTCCACATGGCAGGAATGAACCTTGGAGGCAAACTGCCAGCCCTGCGCCAGGTTGTCTGGCTGCTGACATAATTGCCAGGGACCTGGATCCGGGGGGCTCAAGGTCTGGCACAGCTGCAGTGGCAGGAAGCTTCTCAAGTGTTGGCTGCTGAGGCCTAGAGCCTGGCCCCTTGTAGAACCAAGTATCACACTAGCCTTGGACCTCTGGTCCTGTCCTGGCATCTTCAATCTGGCAGGCAGTGCTGTATCCTGAGGCAGGTGACCTAACATCATTGAGCCTCAGTTTCCTCATCTGTCAGATGGGGACAGTGACTCCAGCATCATCAATAGATGAGAGAAGCACCACCAAATAACATATGTAAAGTATCTGGCAGGGAAGAGAGTCACCAACAGTGGATGCCCTGAGCCCACTTTATTTCCATTTTTTTATTTCTGCCCCCTCCACTGGGAAAGACTCCCCTTCCCTTATATAGTGGTTCTTAACCCCTTTTTGGATCAGAGACCCATTTGAGAAAGTGTCAAGAGTCATGATCTTTTTTCCAAGAAAAACACAGGAGTGAGGCAAGGGTTAGGACCTTCCACACTGGTCGTGTGATCAGGAGGGTATGGGGGAACCATGTAGACCTGTGGAATTCTGGGACACAAACCATAACCCAGTAACATGCAGAACCTCAGGGCAGGAGGAGGCTGGGAAGGCGGGAAGGCAGGAAGGCCGAAAGTCAAAAGGGCTGTGGTCTCAAGTCTCAGAGGCCTGTGTGGCCAAAAGAGCAGTGGCCTAGCGCCTGGCTCTCCAGCCAGACCTTGCTTACACCTGGAGGCTCTCCTTTCTGGGGCCAGGGAGGTAGGGAAGGAGAGCAGAAGGAGATGGTAAAAACAGAAGCTATCATTGCCATGGTCAGAGGCTGGACTGTGGCCATGGGAGGAGGCCACAGGCTGCAGTGATTTTTCTTCTATAGGCCGTCTGCGAGCTGGGATGCTCCTCTGTGGCTGTCGACATGATGTCAGCCTCTGTCCCTCCCCTGCTGCCCCGTGCATTCCCCTCCCCATGTGCCCCTGGCATCTAGTGGTTTTCCCCTTATAGCCATCCCTGTCCCTGGATGCCCCTGGAGAAAACGCTGGACACTGGGCCCGGCTAAAGCCCAGCTGAGAGTCTGTGGCAAGGCCCTTCTCTCTTGTGATCTCCTTCTCCCTCTGTGAAAGGGCAGGTGAACCACACAGTACTTATTAAGTTGTATTCCAAGATCTCGGGGCTGACAGGTGGGGGCAGGGGTGGGCAGGAGAGGGGCGAGAGGGGGCAGCAAGCCTGTGGGCTGTGGAGCTCAGCAGAGTAGTGCCTGGTTACAGACAGACAGACACACAAAGGCAGTTCTGTTGCCAAAGAAAAGCCTGGACACCCTGCACTGGGTGACCATTCAGGTTTCTCACGCTCCTACCAGACCACTTCATCTTCCCAGCTTCCGCCACATTTCAAGGGCAGTTGAGGCTGACCTGTCCTGGAAGGACCAAGAAAACCCTAGATGCCAACCCAGAGGCTGGGGCAGGTCTGAGAAGACGCCCAATGTCCTTTCCCAGACCACGCTCCAACCATCACCTCCTCTAGCCAGTCGCCCTGAGTGCCCGGCATGCTGTGGCTACTCCTTCTCCTTGGAGCGCTGCCCTCTGGGTTTGTGTCCTCCTTCCTTGGGATGGGGGAGCGGGGAGAGGGGAGTCTCCTAGGCACGCCGCCATGGGTCACTGTGAGTCATGGCCATAGCCCTCCCTGTGAATTCCAGCTGGGGTGGGGCTCCCCAGGGTCCCAGGGCCACAGCAGCGGAACTCAGGGAGCCTGGCCAAAGGCCGCTGCACACTTTATTGCTTTATTTCTCTATCTGGAGCCTGCCTAGGTCCCCAGAATGCTTGTGCTGTTTCAGGGCACTTCACAGTCCTGAGGACCTTGGCCCTGTCCAGGTGTCCTCCTCAAAGCCAGTTTACTGGGGATCACTGTGTCCCCACCCATGGGGGCTACTTATGGTACTGGGTGAAGGAAGGGAGCCCCCTGAACCCTCAGGTATCACAGAAGGCTGCAGCCTGGGCCCTGGCCCCAGGAAGTGTCCCCTCTTTGCCCCTGTACATGGCCAGCATGGACACTGCCCAACAGGGCTGTCCAACACTCCACTCTGCCCTGGCTTCCAGGA